AGGCTGGACTAGCATTCCCACAAGCAGTGTAAAGAATCCAACTATAGATTAGTGGAGTCTGGACACCTTTTGTTTCACCTGACTCTGTTTGAAGCTGCTGTCAAAACAGCCAGCTAGCAGAAGAGCTTAATACCCCAACAGGTAGTATTCCTGCATAGCTTTTACATCTACATTTCACCTGGGGAACTCACTAGGCTAAACCTTTTTGCTTTACCCAAAGTAAAAAGCAACCTACAGAAGAAATTGTGAACTCAGGAGGGGGGGAGAGGCTGTTTTTTAGCTGTTCAAACTGCTCTCTACAGATGCCAGTTTTCAGAGACTGGCATCTTTTGGATGCCAGTCTTTGAACTTCAAGTCTTCAGTGTCTTCACGTGAGCTCTGGTATTCTGTAAAATCACATCACTGTGTATCCCACTTACCCCTACGCTTCCTCAGCAGCAGCATCTCTCCTCTGTGTCCTTCTCCTTCCGCCTTCCTCCTTCCTCCTTCGTCATGTTGGCCCTCTCTGTTCTACTTACATTTCCCATTGTGTGTGTGCCATTCTCTTGTGCTCTGTTTGGGAAAATATCACCCACAGTATATATTCCATAGTATATGTGAATTCAGGTACATGTTTTCAGTGGCCTGTAGTACAGAATGGAATGAAATATATCTAATACAAAAGTTAAAAAAGAAAAGCAAAAAGACAGTAATTTACTTTAAAAGTTATGACTAGATACTCATATACCAGGTCATTAACAAAATGTTTTGATTTATATCAGACAAATGTAATCTGCAATAAGTCTTGAAGTATTTACTTTTAAATATATAACACATAAAACATAAGTTTTGTTTAAAACATGAGATGGAGTTCAAATTCCTCATTTTTGTATTAGGTATTACAGTGACATTTTCTTATTCAGTTTCATTTGTCATAAATCAAATGATAATATCTGTAAATTTATTTTTATAGCCTATACTCCCTTGATGATTTCTTAAACATATGTTCCAATGCTCCCCATGCCCCATTTTAATAAGTTTTAATAAATATAAGTTTTCAAGTTTTCCTATTCTTCACTATTTTATCCAGGTTGGATCAATCACCAGAAGAAAAATACTTTGTCTATTATTTGTCTATTATTTGTCTATTCAGACAACCAGTAATTACCGAACACTTATTTACACAGACACACACAAACACAGCATTAGCTATAGTAAGTAAAAATAAGGCTAGAAATCTATTTTCAAAACTTTTGTTAAATCAAATATACAATTTAAAAGGGGATATCTATACCATATGCCCTTCTTCTAAGGCTTAGAGATCACTGAAGAAGAGGGTGAAATAATAATAATAACGAAGGGCATTGGGTAACTACAAGAATATTGTTTCCTGGATACAGCGGGGCAGTTATAGATGGGAACTTAACAATTATTGTGACAGAACGCACAAGACCTATGTATTAGCAGCAAGTTCTAGCCAGACAAAATTCCAGCACGGAGAAGCAAAGTGGGCACAAAGCCCCACCCATTGTTGAGGAGTTGTTGGCAAGTGATATTTCTGGAAAGGGGAGAGTTAGTTTTCTTTAAGGATATGGTGCCTGGTGGGTTCTAGTGGAAAACCCCATATTCAAGAGGATATGGCAACACAAGTCATAATTTCTGAGTTTAAAATGCAAACAAACAAACAAACAAAAAACAACAACAAACACTGGGGCACAAAGTTGGGTAGTTAGGGAAGAGAAGGGGTTGATCTGGGAGGAGTGGGGGAAGGAGGTAAATATGGTAGAAATACATTGTGTGAAATTTTCAAAGAACTACTAAAATTAGAAAAAAAGAGATAAGAAATAAACCACAAACTACTAAAAAAAATTCTGTGATCTATTTTGCAAACTTATCAAGAACACAGATAATTCACACCAAACACTAAGTATATTCAAATAATTGTAACAACAGACAGAACATTGAGCAAATACTACATTTAAATTTGAGCAAATAAAACATTAAAATGTACTCAATATTATTAGTGGTGGGACAAATACAAGTTAAAATTGTAATGATACATTATGTACAAACATAAAAGATAATAGCAAAAGCTTTAAAGAAACAAGAACAAATAGTGGGTGAGGGCAAGAATCATGAATTGCTCTTTACAAAGTATAAATTCATTAAAAAGACTTACTCTGGAAAATCATTTCTTAAAATCTACTAAAAGAAAAGCTGAATTTATATATATCCCAATAGTTCCACTCTAGGGTATAGAGTACACCCACAAACGGTATTATAAATTACTATTACTAAAATCCTAACTGAAAAATATCAAAGTGTTTCTGAATAATAAAATGGATACCCTGTGTACTAGACAGACTGTGGGCTGCTACGTAGCTATTAACAAGCACAAACTTCCTCAAATGAACCAGGAATGATTCACGAAGGCACAATAGTAGAGAATACACATATGTCAACTGTAGGAAGGTTAAGTATTGATCAATACAACCTATAGCCGTGAAGATCAAGATGCAGTTTTATTTGGGGGCTGCCGACATAATGGGGCAAGAGGGACCTACATGGCTATCAAAAAGACTCGGTGTATGTATTGATTGTTGTAGAGGTAATACAGGTGTACACATACATACTAAGTGATCAAGCTGGACCCCTGAGATTTTACTGTTTCCCTGTAGTCTGCTGAATGTAGTGATTAACATATTTGCGGGGGCAAAGATCAAATGTGGAAAATGGGCGTTTGGCACAGTTTGTTCTTATCAGTTATTGAGTCAAGGCAATAACCAGAAAAGAAGAGTCTGTTCTTCATTTAAGTTGATTATGAGAGGTTGTGGTCCAACAATTCCTGGCTGAGAAATGGTACCCAAAATCTTCCCACAGGGTACTGCCTGATCCTCCTCAAACTGCCCCCGCATCCTTGTACTTTCCTCCCACTAAACATTAACTTTTAATTGTTCATGACCCATGTTTCCAAGCTTAAAGTTTGAAAAATGAGTTTATATAGTTAGTTTCTCATGTTTGGGGGTAATATCTATTTTTTAAAAATAGTATTGACTGAAAATTCCATGTTTTAGGTAAAATAAGTGTGTTCAAAAGGAAATGCTGAGTTTGTTCTTTCTGTCTGTTTTTGATCAGTGCAAAATCATGCAGCATATGCTAGAAGCTCAGCTTTGGTCAGTCCCTGGGGTAAATCATGTCCCAGTGATTCAGGGAACAAGGCTTAGACAGAAAGCATAAGGCTCTAACCTGAAACCATTTTCTTCTCCAAGCTTCATTCAGCTTCTGAGTCATGCTCCCTGATCTCGTCAGGCTTTGCTTCCTGCAGAAACCATAAGCTTTTGTCTGCTACTTTCCACGTCTTCACTCTTCCCTTTGCCTCATGAGTTTGCCTTGTGTCTACATGCAGTCTGTGATGCCATATACTCATACCAAACTAACACTAATTGTCTCATGATTCTAATTTCATCCTAAAATCTGTAATGCACACCTGATGCTTGCATATTAAATAGTATCTTCCTGTTTGAACATGGTTGTTCTAAGTGCTATTGGAGCTTTAATCAGTCAAAGGTGATCCTCTACTTTCTTTGCTTTCCATTCTCTAACAAACACTAGCATGAATGGGCATAGTCTGCCTGCCAAAGCACCACAACCAAAGCAGACTTTTTGATTTGAAATTTCTGTCTTATCAGATATCCTTCCTTTAGTCCTATTACCCTAATCTTGCTAAGCCAAAGTTCTTGGTATGAATCAAATATACTGAAGTAACCATACTCCTACCAGAAACCAGTTGTCCCACAGTTACCTTCCAGAGGTCAAAGTAAGTGTTTTTGTAGTTTATGTCTGTTTTTTCATAGATAATAAATGACAGCCTTAGTGTTAAATCCCTTGCCTGTGTGCATAAAACAATGATTTTTCATCCATTTGTGACAGATATCTTTGTATCTAAAATGTTTACCTGAACATACTGCATACATGTTTCAGTTAATCTTTAGGTGAGAATATATATTTTCCAACACCCTCTCATTATTAATTAAGGGCAATTTATAGACTATGATATGCATTCACTTTCGGGTTATGAGAAAATTTAGCAGATTGTAGCACTCTGTGCTAGAATCTGCCCATATGGGTGAGGTGTCAGTTAAGGATTTTGGTTGTTTCTTTTGATTCAGGCTGCTCCTCTTCTTTGAGTGGATGTGTTTGCAGTTTTTGGTGGACCTTTGTTGTAGTAAAGTTGTGGTGTTTTTTTTTTTTTTAAACTCTTCAACTAGTGTTCTGAACACCAGGCTTTATCTCCAGTCTGTCTTTGTGGGCTGAGTGCAGCAGCAGTTACTATCTAGACATTAGTACATTCTGATAATAGACTAGCAGGAAATCATGAAGCAGATAATTGCTAAATACTGGTTGATTTAAGGAATGAAGGGCCCTTGGGCATATTAGCATTTTAGTTATCATAGGTATGAGAAGAAAAGCAAAGAGGAATAGGTGAGTAGTCGTAGTGAGACTAGTCATTAGTATCAGACTGTTAGGTGGGAAGCAGAGGAAAGGGCATACATGGGAGTCGGAATAAGAGAAGGAAAGGAAAATGCAGTGGATACCTGGGAGTTTGAATTAATGACAAACTAAAAAGAGGAAAGACATGTATTAGATATCACAAACCAAGTCTGTCTCTAGGCTTTGGGCGTGTAACAGTCAGAGGAATGGGCATGGGAAAGGGGAAACGATAAAAAGAAAGAAAAGGAGAGCGAACCAGAGTTACAGCAAGAATGAGAGTAAGAATGAAACTAAAGATGTAGGCAGTTCAAGGCAGTCTTGCTGCGCTTCACTGACCTTCTGAACTCAACTATGTAGATAAGAAACAGCTGTTTGGGGCAGAGCTGCCTGGAACTATAAGATAATAAAGTGACTGGCCTGGATGTCTTTTCCTCTTCTTAGCTGATCTCTTGCATTGTCTCAGTGGCTGGTCTGGACCTCCTTTTGTCTTGTGGACACCCTGCTCTTCTTATGTGTGGTAATGATTGTACATGGTTGATTTTGAGGATGTGTTGAACATTGGAGAAAATGGACATGAACGGAATAGAGTTGATGAAAAGGGCATAAGAAGTTTAGAAGGTTTGTTTTATAAGGCATCCCTTATATTAAGGATCCCTTCAGTGGACAATGGGATGTCTGAGATTAATGATGGAATTTCTGTAAACGATAACTGGCATGTTTTCAGAAAGAAACTTAATAGGTTGTTAGAAAAAATGCCACCACATTTTAATAGCTTGTACTCATTAATATCTTAGCATTAACTGACTCTATCAAATACAAGAGAAATCCATTAGTATTGATTTAAGGCGAAAGACAGTTATCCTTAGCAAAGTAACAGAATTGTATAGAATATCTTTAAATCACACATATACATCACTAGTAACGGGATCACCTCCCTTCTGTGTAATCTTCCAAACAAGGTATGACTGATGGTCTCATCTTGTGCTGTGCTGCTGAAGTTGTCTCTTGACTTTTTTCTTTACAATTAGGCACCTTTGGGATTAATTTAAACCAATGAAGACTACATAGGATAATCTCCTTTTGCTTCAGTCTGTTCGTTAGCAACTAAAATTCCGTCTGCTACCTTAATTTTCTATTAACACACAGTTGAGCATTTTCAGACTCTGGGAGTTATGAAGTTTGTATCCCTTTTGAGTCTGTATCATTTGAATCAGATGTATATTATTTTCTGAGTCCCCTTAATTAAGATATAATATTGAGCTTTATTCTCTAATCTCATTATGGGGAAAAAAAGCAAACAGTGTAAAAGGGGTTCAAGGCTTCTTAGAAATACTGTTCTACACCTTGAGAATATTCTAAAATTCTGTTACTCATCTTTCCAGGAATGGCAGTGAAATACTTCTTGTTATTTGCTGCTGCTGCTGCTGCTGCTGCTGTTGTCTTTGTTCCTGTTCTGGCTATCAAAGTATGTGTGTTAGAAAACTATAATTTAGATAAGGGTACTAAACAACCCTTTGATAAAATGTTGTCCTGTGTACCACTGTAAGAAATCTGTATCAGTTACTCACCTACTTCATGTAATAATTCAGGGGAAAAAAAGAGCCTGGTAGTGGTGCACACCATTAATCCCAGCACTGGGGAGGCAGAGGCAGGCAGATCTCTCTGAGTTCCGGGTCAGCCTGGTCTACAGATTAAGTTCCAGAACAGGATCCAAAGCTACAGAGAAACCTGCCTCAAAAAAAGGAAGGAAGGAAGGAAGGAAGGAAAGAAGGAAGGAAGGAAGGAAGATAAATAGATAGATTGAAAGAAAGAGTGGCACCAAAGAATAGAAGGGCTAAGTGGAATGTCAAGTTTAGACGATTAGGGCGTTAAGGTTTGACTTCACTTTAGGTCCTTGGGACCAAGTCTATGTCCTTTTTCTAAACAATAAAATGGAAAAAATGAATAAAGGAAGGCAGGTAGCAAAGAAAGAAATAAAGAAAAGGCGGCATGGAGGGAGGAAATTAATTGAAGCATAGACAAGAACTTCTTTACAATTTACATACGTTTCCATGACTAAATAAACTAAAAACATAAAATAAAAACACTACTATTATTACCTATCCTCCAAGATAACCATGTCTTCAACTGAGCTACATTGTTTGTGATTTTGTGAACATTACACCTCAAGACTAAATATGAAGTGGAAAGGTACAACTACAAAGATATGGGACTCAGCAATGGAATATGATGCCTAGGTCTGATTTCTTATGAAAATAAAACCTTTGGGTTGATGATATAGCTCAATGAAAGGGCATTTGCTTGTATGTGAAGTCCAGAGTTAAATGCACAGAACCACAAAAGAATGACAAGCAATGGTAATGATGATAATATTAACGATAACGATTATGGATAAGTAATGGATCCCCAGTTACTGGGTTTCTCCACTGAAGCAATTAATCACATCAGAGTGAATTAATAAATCCAGATTGAATAAACAGAGCAAAACAGAGCAAAGCAACCCCCAGTTGACTATCAGGAAGGCAGGAAAGAGATCATAGGCAGGTCTGGCGACCAGGTCTTACATACACTGTAGGCTTGGTCTTGAGCAGCTCTAGGGAAGGAGCTGACCCTTGGTGAACTTTCTGAGGGGTGGGGTATGCAATGGGAAGAGTGAGACCATAGCTGAGATTCCCAATTACTTCAATAATTATAGAACAGAAACAAAATCCTCATTGGTGTAATAGGTGGAACATTCTAATAGTCTGTGATGAGTGAATGATAAATGATTAATATTTAGCAATGAAAATAACACAAGAAAAAACATGCACTTTTGTTTACTTTATCTAATTGTATAATGAGTTGAAATCAATAATTTTGTTATAGAACTAGAATGTACATACTTGCTGACACACACACATAACCTTAAAACTTGCATATCAACAGTTCCCAAATGCTGAGCATTGTTTATTTCATTATACGTAAGCTCTAATTTTACATTGCATATAGATCTATATGTAATGTACTTCATGTGTCAAGTTCTACTCCAAAGAGAGATATTAATTAATAATTTTCTGATAGAATCTCAAACTACAGAGAGCCCTCTATAATAATCTGGTCACAGAGTTCCAAACCAAGCCACAAGAAGAAATTGTCAAAGCACACAATGTTTTGAGGAGAACAGTGTACCCAACAGCCAGGAACATGCTGAAGATGGTAAGTCCATAGAAGATCATCACTAGTGATATCAGGGACACTGGTGGGGCTTGCTACATTGTTATTTAGTCCTATGAACTGTGACTGTGCTAAATGTTTGGTCATCATAGCAGATCTATGATGTAACAGGGGAAGAAACTGAGGCCAAGCAGATGTAAATGCTTTTCACAGAGTCATGCTTAGTACATGATACAGCCACAATCTGACTCAGCCCAGCTGTATTCTTAGGTGCCTCCAGGCATGTGACATTTATTTGAGTACCAGGATGTCCAAATTCAAAGCTAGCTGAGAACCCCCTCGCCAAGACAAATATTGAAAAAAATACCTAGTAGTGAATTTCACCGAATTATGTGGAAATTTAGAGACCTGGCCTTTGTGGTGCAAAATCTGATGGATTCTATCACAAGACAAATTAAGGGACCTCGGGCTAATATCTTTGGGGCCCAGGACAGCTGAGGGTAATGAAGTTCAGATATAGTGCCGACCCTAGAACAGCAGTTCTCAACCGGTGGGTCATACATCAGATATCATCCATATCAGATATTTACATTATAATTCATAATAGTAGCAAAATTAAAGTTATGAAATAGTAACAAAATAATTTAATGTTTGGGGGTCACCACAAAAGAGTTGTAATATTAGAAAGGTTAAGAACCACTGCCCTAGAGGGTGCCACTAATTGACAGTACCCTCTTATAAATAATGGAGGAGAAGCAACAAGAGAAAACAGGAAATGTGGTTTTAAAAAGCTTATCTCTGGACCACCTTGATAATTAACAGTATTACATGAGAAACACAATTTTAAAAGCATCAGTTGTCATAGGTATCCATGTTGCTGTTACTGTTAATAAATGTTCTTCAGCCAATCATATAGTTCATGCTTGGAATCCCAGTATTCAGGTAGACTCCCTGGCTGAGGCAGGAAGATTGCTATGTGCTCAAATAGAACCTAGAGTACATACCATGATACAGAAAAGTGATTCTTATAATTTCTAAAATTAATCTATTTAATTCCCAAGTACAGTTGTCTACATTTTAAAGCATCTCAAATGTATCTATTTTATTCCAATTCCTTAATGCAAGAGGGATATCTGATCTTAATCATCATGTTATGAAATCCAAACTCCTTTCTCCCAGATGAACAAATAACTACAGCTAAAACAGCCTCTGAATTGAGAAGCCTTATTGCAGACAGATAGTGATTTTTTGGTGATAAAGAAAGTGATGCTTTGGTCTTCTCAAGTTCCTCAGTGAGACACAGACATGAAATAGTAATCTTTCCTACTTTAAGTTTGCAAAACCATAACTGTTTTAAAATTAACCTGAAGAGTAATTCTATGAAAGCACCACTAGATGGAAGTAGAGACAAACAGTAATTATCTTTTCCCAGACCTTGCCACAGATTGACCTCCACTGTAAAGAGTGATGGCAATAATGCCAATGTTGTTCCCTACATTTTTAGTCTGTCCAGTGAACTTTGTGTATCTAAACATTTGCTCATCACAACCAACCCAAAACATAGGAGCAGAGAAAACTGAGTCCAAAAACTTTAATTGTCCCTACATTCTTAGAAGATTTACCCAGAAGACTGATTAAAACAAAACACTCTGTCATTGTGGTTGACAGAGTATCACTTGTGGTGTGAGAAGACGGGGGTTGGGAGGTTTTCAGCATGTCACGGCTACTCCCATCCAGCTGTTTCTGAGCTGTATATTAAAAAATGTTTCAACTCAGCACATACCATCACTATCCCACCCTCCATGGAATGTTCAGAGCACACTAGATTAGTTGATTTGAATTCTCAATTGTGTGACCTTTCAAACCCTGGCACTTCCTCTTGTCTGCCACACAGAGATAATGTTGCTGCCCCCTTTTAGTTGCTATAAGGAAGAGTAGGAAAATACAATTAGTACTGGGTTCTAGTGATATCAACTGCTCCTTCACTTTTATCCCTATTTGAGGCAGAAATCTGTGGCTCTGCTTGTATTCACAGAAATCACTTGTTTGGTGAGCACACATTGAGAGACCCAGGATATCACAAGTTTGTTGTAAGGACAATCACACTAAATCTATTGGATAAAGCTCTTGGCGTGTCTTGGACATCCTCTTGACAGCTACTGAGACTCTTAAGAACTAGAATGTCATGCCTAGGGTTGTTCTTGTTTGCTTCTCTGTTGCCACGATAAAACACTGTCCAAAAGTAACATGTGGAGGAAAGGATTTATCTGGCTGACATCTCCGGATCACAATACATCACTGAGGAAAGTCAGGGCAAGGACTGAAGCTGAGGCCATGAAAGAGTGCCTCTTACTGGCTTACACTCCATGGCTTCCCCCAGCCTGCTTTCTTAATACCACCCAGGACTGCATTTTAGGGGTCATTAATCGTGAACCAAGAATGCCCCCCAATGAAAGGTTCACAGGCCAATATGACAGAGGCAATTCCTCAGGTAAGTTTCCCTCTTTAGATGTGACTCTAGTTTGTGTCAATTGGACAACGGCAAAACAGCTGACAGCTTACTGGGATAGCCTTCTAGTGCTCTCTGCTTCCCTGAAATTATTCAGTTATGCTCTAAGAAAGTGATGGCCTCATTGTGAATTGGAATTTCCCAGAAATCTGAAAGGAATTTCACCTTTATTTCCTTTTTGTTTCTACTAGAATGTTTGAGGAAATTGGAAATATATAATAGTCTGTTTTCCCCAAGAAAAGATGTCACAAATCCCATATTTTTACAAACACACCCAGAATCTTAGTTTGTGAATGCTAATTTCATTTTGATTAGGGACTTTTTTTTCTTTCTTGTCTCACAGAGTTGGAATAAAGCTGCTGCTACAAATGCTAGAATCCTGGCAAGATACTGTGACATGTCAGATAGTGACCCGCTTGAGAGGAGACTTAACGGTATGTCTATGTCTGTATGACATGACTTGTATTTCCAACTCTATAAACTCATAGGAGGAAAGCACTTTAAAGTGAGGAGGTTTGTTTTTATTTTATGACTCCAGAAAGTTGAGCCCATCATTTTTAGTTGAAGGGATTTGGGACTGAACTGAGACCAAGTAGCATGATGGAGGTTATAGTGGAGGAAACTGCTCACCTCAGCTAGAAAAAAAGCAGCTAGAGAGAGAAAGCATTTAGGTGAAAACTGTGCTCTCAACATGAATTCCTTTGAAGACCCAGCTTTTCTAGGCAGGCTCCATTTCTCAAAGGTTCTTCAACCTTCCCAACTACCTGAATCCAGAGAACAAGTCTTCAACACCTGAGACTTCCTGATACATGTTAAATACAAACTACCTTTAAATAAACAAAGAAAAATATAGATGAATAAATACATCTCAAAGACACATAGTTGAAAGCAACTTGACAAAAGTATGTTAACAGAATCAATCTTCACTGACACCTATCCTTGAAAGGTATACTGTATCCTTTTTAATTTTTTTTTGTTTTTTTGTGACAGGGTTTCTCTGTGTAGCTTTGGAGCCTATCCTGGTACTTGTCGTTTTTAATTTTTAAAATTTGGGGATTCTTGGTTTTGGAGTGAGTGCTCTGATCAACAGGAGGAAGGAATCATGGCCAGCATTATTCCAGGGTTGAGTGCATCAGGTATCTAGGAGGCTTCCATTCAAAGTTATCTCAGTTGCCTACAACATCAGAATGGGGATTCCCTCAGCTTTGGGACACTAACACAGCTCAGAAGTGACTGTAAGGCAACTGTGGAACTACCCAGATGAACAATTTCAGTCCTCAAAGGTGGGATTGTTTTTGTCAAATACAGTAAATATTACACATTTTTAGTGCATCCTACAGAATTAAGTAACACTTCAAGCGATGCTTTCTTCCAAACTAATTTTTAAAAGTACAAATACAACTTTATAGCTACCGATTATTGGAACTCTTTTGCCAAGATGTTGAGCAATGCTTTAGCATTGGGGGAACTTTGTATTCTAAAGAAAGGCAAATTATTCCTCAATATCATAACCCACCTAGAGAATGTATGACAAATGGACCCAACATCTTTTGAGAATGTGAGCCCTCTTTGTAACTGCTTTCAGTTCCAGAATTCAGTTACAGCTCCCAAGGGTTCATGCAAACTTTTACTACCCTCATTTACCTCGAAAGAGACAGACTGAGATATCTATAGTCCCTGGGTAGTTGTAGTACATGCCTTTTGCCTTTTAATCCCAATACTTGGGAGGCAGAGACAGGAATATCTCTGAGAGTTCAAGGATAGCTTGGTCTACATAGGAGTTCTATGACATCCAGGATTATTACAGAAAGAAGCCCCCTATCTCAACCAAACCGAGAGAGAGAGAGAGGAAGAGAGAGAGGGAGAGAGAGAGAGAGAGAGAGAGTTGTTATTTCAAAGCTTTCTGAGCATGTGTCCTTGCCAATTTCTCCTGAAGTACCACATGATCATTCAACAAGATGGAAGATGTTTCAGAAGAGAAACAACTATAATTCGGATTATAAAATGATGTCTAGATGATCATTAAGACATTTGTGAAAGAAAATTAGGGAAATTTCTGTATTTTATTTTTTAAATAATATTAAACCTGGGTGTGGTGGCAAATGTCTTTAATCTCAGCACTTAGGAGGAAGAAGCAAAAGGATCTCTGTGAATTCGAGGTCAGCCTAGCTGACAGAGAAAGTTCCAGGACAGCCAGAGCTACACAGAGAAACCCTGTCTCCAAAGGGAAAAAAATCTAAAAATAGAGAAAGAAAGGAAAATAAAGAATATTTTGCAGTCATGTTCCTTCATTTTCAGAAACATTTTGTGGAGAAAATAGGCATTTGGATCATTACCCCCACTCGTGGACAAACATAATTGAAATATGGCACAATGAATCCAAACATTTCACATATGGAGAATGGCCATCCTCAGATGATGACTTCCAGACAAATCATTACACTCAGGTAATTTAATATCTTTCCATATACACCCATGACTGGACACATGTGTGGGTCAAAAATAAGTACTGGTTCTCCTCTCAGGCTAAGAAAAATGACCTGTGAATTCCCAACACTAAGTTGCCTGAAAGTGACCAGGACAAGGATACCATCACTTATTGTGCCAATGCAGACAGGGGAAATTCCTTGTGGTCCCACCTATTAGGTGATGAGTGACAAGTGAGAAAAAGACAGTGTCAGCCCTGAACACATCTACATATGAGCAATACTAAATGAACTCGGTAGGTTGAGCATGCTATTTGTACATATTTAGATATACACGTAACAATAATGCTTATTAAAGAATATGTAACAAGAATTATTATTAAATATGGAACAGGGGTTCGTTCATGGGAGGAATTTAGGTGGGAATAGAAGTGATATAGATATGGAGTTCATGTATGATGTCTTCAGGGAATGTAGAAAGAAATCATATGTATGTAAGAAATAACAACTAATGGAAAGAGGCTATGAATCTGAAAAGAACCAAGAAGGGTATTAAAGAGGGTTTGGAGAAAGGATGGGAAAGATGGAAAAGATGCAATTATAATCTAAAAAAATGTTTTTAAAAAATCAAAGAAATTGGTCTTTATTTTCTTAAATTTTAGGGGAAATACTATCATGATCTGTAGGACCATGTGAATGCATTGTATGCATAGTATGCATACAGTGGTCACAGATGCATAGTATGGTCACAGATCTATTTAATAAAATAAATAATTTCTTTTACATTAGTTGAGCTTTTACTTGGGTATATATGGGATGAATAAATGGAATAATTACCCCCACTACTTTACTAGTAACCAACATATACTGTGAGAATGACACAGTAGATGTTCTAATGTATTTGAATAGCAGTTCTTCTCTGTGTATGTTCTATCACAATCTAAGTGCAACAAAATTTCACAAGGCAAACACGCATCTGTGAAAAGGAGCAAGAAGAGAAACTTGCAAACCTTGAGGTACATTGTCCGACGTTAGCATAGTGGGTGGAGCCCCAGGTTTGGTGAAAGCATACCTTTCTTCATCAGAGACGATTAAACGCTGCATGGCTTGGAGGGGGACTGACACCAGGAAAAGCTTCCCTCTGTGAAGATAAAGGAAGACTTCACAAACTCAGTCAGAGCAAGCTACTGTGATTGAAAAGAAAATAAACAAGGAGACATGAGTAAAGTGTCTAGTGCAGGCTGAGGGAAATTATAGCCAGGCTCCTGAAGAGCTCTCAGAAGATAATGGGCTCCATTGCACTCACCCTCACTTCCTTCTCCAGCTTCTTAATCATTCTATTATTTCATCCGCACCATACACATTCATGTAGTGGGTAGCATTGTTATACCCATCTTACAGATGAGAAAATTAAACTCTAACCACGAAACTTCAAAACAAACAGAACAACAAAACCCCCACGCAGTTTAGAAGTACAGAGAGGAAATTTAAACCTGGCTCACTTGCACTGAAAGCCATTTGAGAAGTATTACCCTATGCTTGATGAGGAAGTAAACATCCATCCTTTATCATATTAGCTTACTCACCACAAAGGCTTGACATGGAGAGAATAAGCAGAATGGATGGCACTGCCCTTTGTTTTTTGGTGGGATTAATATAACAGGTTTCTCATTCCAGGAAAATGACCTAATCACGTAAGTTTTTTCATGTGCCTTCTGAGTAGGCCATGCTAAATGCAAACTGAAGACTTGATTACTTCTTTAAGATTAATTTTTATTTGTGTGTGCTTTCATGTGCATACTTTCATACACATATGACGCTCTCAAGTGTGCATACCCAGTGAGTTAAGAAGAGTGCTTTGGATACCCTGGATCTGATTTTAGATCCAAGTGGATGCAGGAATCAAAACCAAGTCTTATAGAAGAGTAGCAAGTTCCTGTAAACACTGAGCCATCTCTCCACCCCTACATATTTACAATTAATCATGATAGCAGTGCTTATATTGTGCTCATTTTGTGAACATGCAAATGTGGAATAAAGTCACCTCTTGTCATTACAGATGGTCTGGGCCACTTCTTACCTCATTGGCTGTGATGTTGCATCATGTCGAAGATATAATACCATATCATTTCTCTATGTGTGTCATTATTGTCATGAGTATGTAATGCCAGTTTATTATTCTTTCTAAATATTCTAACTTCCTAAAATCTTATCTGATGTTTCAAATATTATAAATGAATGTTCTAGGATTCTTTTTCTGTTCGGTTGTTAGCAAAAATGTCACAAATACATCCACAGCCTGTCCTTTTCCATCATGCTTTCACTAAGTTTATTAAGAGATATAAACTTTCAGACAATTTATCAGTATTCACTGGAGAGTCATTACACAGGGAAGTGAATTTGAACTGTCTTAGGCAAAGAAAGGTTATTCAGAGGCATGAAGACCCCTGATCCCAATGTTTTCCAGCAGTGTGTACAGCAACATTGCAAACCAGCTAGTGCAGCAGAGACAGGTGGGGGAGAGGCCTGGTGTTTCGCTCCTGGACCTAGAGACTGGGCTGCCCAGCAGGAAGTTTGGTCATTGACCTCTTGGTCTGCTGTGTGAAGTTGCTTACTGTGTCTCAGGGAGCCGCTGAGGTTGTGGGGGATAGGTCGACAATGTGATTGTGTAAGTCAAGTTACTATTCTGTTAGTGCTAAATGCAGTTGAAAGAGAGGTGCCCCTTTTTCTTTACCAATGCTCAGATCTCAGGGTGATCCTGTCCTCAGACTGCACTGCTCCTCAGACTGCCCAGTACATTCTTTAGTGTCATCTATGCTTAGTGTTTTTGTGATTTATATAGATAATGTATCTACAAGACACAATAACAAGTGCTTCTCATCACTAGTGTAAATGAGATTAAAAAAAGATCCAAAGCAAATGAACTGTGCTTTTTTTCCCATAACACTTTCCCAAGAGATTAAAACCAACAACAACAAGAGGCACGTACACACACACACACACACACACACACACACACACACACACACACACACCAGCATCCTAAAGCCCCACTTTTGAGACTTGACTGTTCAAATGTCCTGAGTCCTGTTAGCACATGACTGTTCAAAAATAAGGGGGGAAATGACTACAAGTATACTTAAACAGAATTGCTGGTGGTTGAATGCAAAGACAATACTCATCCATAAATCTAGGTCACATATCTATTGTAACTACTAACTCAAAAAAAAAAAACTGGTTTAAACAGTTTATCTTGTGAATTAGCTATTAATAGTAAACATAAGTTTTTAAATATTTTCCAGTGATAATTTTCATTATACTTCTACTTTTTCTTTTGTATAGGGGAAATAATCCTTACACACTAAATATGCCTTACAAGGAGGGCTCACCATGTGAAGACTGTCCAAATGACTGTGACGAGGGACTATGCAGTGAGTTGTTTTTGCTGTTTAATTTGGGTTGCTTAAAGATGGCATATTGATCATATTGACATGGAGACCACATATCCTTCAGGTTAAGCATTAATCCATATTCTATATTTCTTAATTTTCCTTTGAATATTACCACAAGACACATCTGCATTATTTCTGTTTCCCTTCCCTTTGTACCCAGAGTAAGCAAAATTCTTTGACTTTACTATTGAAATGAATGGGAAATTAGGATACCTATGTATGAAAGCTAGAGTTATGATACAAAAGTTAAAATTATGAATTAGAGTCTGCCTCGGTAAAATATTAGTGTGTGTGTGCTGTCCCTACATAATTCCTAGGATACTGTACTATTGACCATAAATTATGCATATTGCTTTCAGTTTATCAGTCTGTCTGAAATGCTTGCTGGCCCCCAACTTGTGTGAACACAAATCAGTGTGGATTTTTTTGTAGGCTGATCTTTATTCTTTTTCATTAGCTCAGGAACTATCTGATACTGGTTCCATAAAAATTTGCTTTTTGGGCTGGAGAGATGGCTCAGCCATTAAAGGCTAGGCTTATAACCAAAAATTAAAATTTTCTCTTCAATGCTTATGTAAATTCTGATTTAGTTTTCTTATTAACACATGAAAGTTGCATATGTGTAAATTAAGGTCATATTCTGACATGGAGATACTATGTGTTTTTGAGATCAGGGTAATCATATCTTTTTTTTCAAGCATTTGTCATTTTGCAGCACTGTTCAAAATTTCCCTTTTGTGAAAGTATGTAATAGGTTATTATTATGTGTAAACACCAGTAACAAACTTGCCACTCTCAATTCTGTCTAATTGTTCCTTAGCACCCACTGATCAGCTTGTCTCTCCACTCTCAAGTTGATAGCCTCTTTTCTTTGACTATTATTGTAAATATGTATACAAACACATAAATACAACCCTAGTTCATTCTTGTTGTTTGTGTGTTTTCAAGGCTGATCATTCTGCATTGAACACTCAGTAAGGCATCTCATCCTTGGGAGAAGCTAATTCTCCTTCTCTGGGTAGTCATTACCTATCTGTAGTTCTTTGTCTAGTGATGGAACCCTAAGAATGACATTTTATAAATATCGATTCTCAGTACAATGGCACAGATTATCTTCCTGTATTTGTGTGCCATCTACAATGGTTTATAATTTTCACAAGAGATGTCACTTTGAATGACTTAATTGCTATATAGTTTTATGTGTTTTATCAGTGAAATTGTTTGCTTAATTTCCATTTCACATACTGCTATTACATACACCAGTGCTCCATATTTTAAATGCTGCTATGATGTAATTTCTTACATGCTACATTGATTTTTATATTATATACTAGTTATATTTATATAATGTACTAATTTATTTTTCTTAATTTTGGCAGTGGTCATTTTCTATGTATGAGACCATGTCATCTTCTGACCATGACAATTTGCCTACTCATTTTTCCAATTTAGAAAAGCCATTAGTTTTACCATCTTGCCTCACTGCTTCACGTAGGATTTCTGCACTGTGTTCAATAAAAGTCATGGCAGTGAGCATCCTTGTGTTGTTCCCCATCTTAGAGAGAAAGCATGCAGCTTTGATAATCAGCATGATGCTAGCAACTGGCTCATTATAAGTAGCTTCATTACAGAAAGATGTTACTGCTTTCTATGTATTATTCACTTAGTGTTTCAGTCATGAATGAAGATTAGGCAAAGATGCCAAAAATATATTAGAGAAAAGGCAGCATTTTCTTTTCTTTTTTTTTTGAGACATGTACTATTTTTATTATCTGCAATTCATTCTTTTTTCATTGTCTTAGGGCACACTACCAAAAGCAGGAAAAAGTACAGTGAAGATAGTGAATACATTTCCGGAATACCGCCCACCCCTGAGCAAAGGATACATCCTACTTTTCCGACAGTGTAGGTCACCAGCCAAGATAGACCATTCTAGCTTTCTACCCCAAGCTGAGAGCAAGGCATTGGATTCCAGACTTCTTGGCTAGGTTGTTATTAATGGGTAGCAAAATTATAGTTGTGCACTTCTGTGTGGAATTGCCAAAGCACATTTTGACAAAATCCAACACCCAAGCTTCTGAAATGCAGACTGTGAGTTAACCATGGATCTGCAGCAATACAAAATACGTTGAAAAAGGGAAAAAAAAAGAACTCTTACCAGCAGTGGTCAGTAACTCCATAAACAGACGACAAAAATATATAACTATCATAAACTATGCCACGAAAATCTCTTCTTTTGGCTTCTATTTAGTGATACCTGCATCTAATGGTCACTTTAAAACACACACACACACACACACACACACACACACACACACACACACACACACACACACAAAGAACAGGCTTATGAAAACACGTGAATTCCATGGTGTTCTAGCAGAGTGATTTCCACAGATTGCTGTATGATCATATGAGCACCCAGGTGCTGAATGTGTGTGTGTGTGTGTGTGTGTGTGTGTGTGTGTGTGTGTCTAGAAAGTGCTATCTACGGTGTGGAAGGCTGGACTGGCCCTTGGAGAAAAGATAATTATTCCCTAGCTGTTAGATCCCCCCCACCTACCCACCAGGGTTCCACTTCTCCTGGCAGGGCTAATCCACACCAGAAAGTTTCAGACAAGAGGAGCCTAAAGCTTTCAGGATGATCACTTTGAGCTGTAGCTCTATCTTTCTTTCTTTCTTTCTTTCTTTCTTTCTTTCTTTCTTTCTTTCTTTTCTTTCTTTTTTTTTGAAAAGGCAGCATTTTCAACAAACAATGCTAGGAAAGTTAGATGTTCACATGTAAAACAATGAAATTAGGTTCACATCTATCACCCTACACAAAAAAACCAACTCTACCTGTACCAAATACACAAATTTGAGACCTGAAACACTGAAATTGCTAAGAGAAAGCATAGACAATACCCTCCAAAATGTAGGTATGAGAAAGGACTTTATGACTAAGATTCCATTCACTCATAAAATAAGGTCAAGAACTGACTAATATTGAGAGAACCAAATAGTTTATGTACATCAAAGGATGCAATAGAATGGTTTCTATCATGGAGTTGTCTTCACAGACACCTCACAGAATCAACCCAATGAATAGCAAGCTCACAAAGTGAGAGAGATTCTTTGTCATATGTACATGAGATAGAGCTTGACTACCCAGAATATACAGAGAATGCAAAGAACAAGAGTCAAGATAGCAGATGCCTCAATTAAAAATAATCTATGAGATGAAAAGAGGAATCTCAAAAAGAAGAAATAAAAGGGGCAAGGGATATCTTTTGCAATGTTCAACCCCCTTAGAAATTAAAGGAATGAAAATGAGAGGTACACTGAGATCTCATCTTGCCACAGTCAGAATGGAAAGATCAAGAGTGTAAGTGATAACAAATGTTGACGAGAGTGAGCGGCAATGGGAACACTGATTCATTGTTAGCGGAAGTGGAAACTTGTGTAGTCGCTATGGAAATCATCGTGGAGAATTCTCAAAAAAAAAAAAATCAAAGCAGACATGCCTTGCCATCCAGCTATGATACTCCTTAACATATGCCTATAGGAGTTGGCATCCATCTCCACTATACTAATCCAGCAATAGCCATTGCCATTCTATTCACAATAACTAGGAAATGAAAGCAGCGTAAGTGCTCTGCAACAGGTTAATGGATGAAGAAAATGTAATACATGTATACACAATGGAATTCTCTTCAGCTGCGAGAAAACATGAAATCAAGATATTTTCAGGGAAATAGATGAAACTGGAAAATATTATATTATATTGACTGAGATTGACACAGACCAGGTAAACTAATGCCACATGTTCTCTTCTATTTGTAAGTCTTAGCTCCAAATCTTTGGATGCAAGTATATAACCTAGAGTAACCTGCAGAAACAAGGAAAATAAAAAGGGACTGCCGTGGAAGGGTGGGAACTCTAGAAAAGGGAATAGTAGGACACAAACACTCTGAAAGGGAAGACAGAAAAAAAATAGAAAGAGGAGTATAAATGGGGATAGATGAGGGAAAGAAATGCATAGGGAGAAGGAAGAATAAAGGATATATAACACTAAGGATGTCCAAAAATACCATGAGGAAATACATTGTTTTATGTTTATTTTTACAATACACATAGTTTAAATGAAGTTTAACTACCACTTGAGGTAATAATATTTCCCTCAACAATGCTCCTCCCAAAGTCAGACTATCTAACAAAATCTTCCCTACCAGGCATGGGAAACTCCCCTCCAATTGTTGGTCAGAGGCTACTAAGAGGCTCCTTAATCGATATAGGCTATTGCTATTCCCTTTGGTTTCCAGCCAGAACTTTAAGGCAAGGCCCTATTGCTGAAGACACTACATACAGCCTCACTACATACAGCCTTTGAACGTAGCACTTGGAGGAATTGAGCTTGAATTGACCTGGAAGTATCCTCCATGAGGACCACCTCTCATAGTGTGTAGGGATGTTTTGCAAGCTGCTGGGGAACAAAAGAAACCTATAGTCCCCCTGAGCTGCTGCAAAGCCTGGAAACTTCTACAAAGATAACAGCTGTCTAGTTGGACTAAAGGCACTCCCAGTAGGAGGAAACCAATGCATGATACTGTAAACTGTAAATCACCCATAGATATTGGTCAATGGCCCTTGAAGATAACCTATTACTGTCACTTTCCTAAACCAGTATCTTTTCTAACTGTATTCTCAGCACTGATGCTCATTCTCACAGGTAAGTTTAGCTCTCACTGCTCATCTAAGAAGCCACTTCTTGCAGGAGATGAAGATTATTACAAAAACCCACAACTGGTCAAAATGCACAGAACAACTTTTCTTTGGGTGCACCACCCCATTTGATTAATCTACAACACAATACCTATACCTGACGCTAAGCAAACATCACAGAGGATGGTGCCAAAGAAAAGTGCAAGAGCCAGAGGACCAGGACATCTGCTACAAGATAATGTTTTTTGTAGATCATTGAGAAGCTGCACACCCATGAAATATTAAGAATCAAGTCACCTAAACAAGATGTGCACAGTGACAACACCAGCTGACATATGAATGTGGATGTCAAAATCTCACAAGATTCCACCTCTAGACCGAACTATAGACAATTACTGATTGTTTAAAAAAGGGAGAATCAATTTTCTTCAAGGATGAGCCCTGTGATAGGCTACATAAGCATTGACACAGATATAACATTTAAATAAGATGCCATCAATTAGCCAGAGAGATGGACAAACACTTGTGGAATTAATGAGAAAGAGGGAAGAGTGGAAATGATATAAATAAAATACACATGTATAAAATTCTAAAATGTTTTAAATTACAAAATTTAATTTATGCCAAATTATGAAACTAGTATTAGTAAAATGAGTCCTTGATTTTTCTCATGCAATTGGTTATTCATAAATAATATGCATAATTTCCACATACTTCCATAACTTTCAAAGCATTGTTACTGATTTCTAGTTCTAGTAAACAGTGTTTAGAAAAATTACAGAATACAGTTCCAGTATTTTTAAATTCTTGTAACCTGAGTGTTAGCTTATCATATGGTCTGTCCTGTGGAATTTTCCACATACTGGTGAAAAGAATGTATGCTTTGTACTTTTTAGCTGGAATATTCTATAGATTCTGCTAAGTCTGCTTACATCATAAATTAACTCTTTTGTTTGTTGAGTTTTAATATGTCCATTGCTAAAAGTAGAGTGCAAAAATACTCAAGCATTGCTTTGTAGAAGCTGACTAATATTTGGTTTATATATTTAGAAGCTTTTGTGCATATGTACATAGAATTTTTTTATTTTACCTATTTATTGTTAATCATTATATAATGACCTTTGGTTTTGTTGATTTTTTTTCCTAAAGTGCTTTTGCTTTCTTCTGAATTTTATTGACATGACATATCTTAATACATCCATATACTGTCTATGTGTGTCCTCAGAGATTTTCTTGCAAGCAACATATACTTGAATATTGTAAAATTTTTGACTATTCCTCTAGTACATCTTTTAAGTAGAAAACAAAATCAATTTACCTACATTCAAAGTCATCAATGATAGATAAGTTCTCATAGCAGCCACATTTAAACTTGCTTTTTTAAATTAACAACTAGACCTTGTTTTCTCCCTTACAGCTTTCTTGTAGTTAGAGTTCTCAGCATAGTAGTACATTTTAATTTTTTGCTTTTTATTTTTGTTTTGTTTATTATGGATATTTTCTTAGCAATAGGTTGCCAAGAAGAGAACTCAGGGCCGGGAATACCCTGAAGTTTTTTTTTTTGTTGTTGTTGCTATAGAGTTTAGAAATTATAGAACCAATAGGATAATAAAAATAATGGACACAAAAACAAAAATGTGTTGATAAGAAATGTATTTTCAGTCCTTTTCTTTTACATTAGTTTCTTTTTAAATGTTTCACTTTACATCTTTCTATGTCTCTTACTTCAGTGTATTAATGAACCTGTTATTAATTTTAATTTCACTGTGTATTTTATACTTACATTTGTTCAGCATGAAGAATCATCTTTAACATTTTTGTAGAATGGGCATGGTGAAACCTCTCTTTGACACAGCTTTCTGATATTGTGTTTATCTTTTCTTCATTTCTAATATATAACATTGTTGAGTATAGAATTCCTGGCTGACAGTTTCTTTCCTTCTACACTGAAAAACAAACAAACAAACAAACAAACAAACAAAAAACTCAAGTCTTTCTTTTTCTGAGGAGTGCTTCAAGAAATGAATCAGAACTCCTTTATAACTTTTAATTTTGAGTCTCAGATTGTGCAACCTGTTAGGATATATGTTCAGTTAAACATAAAGAGTGAACTTGACTTTCCTATATTTGGCTATTAATACTATCTAGATTAAGAGTGTCATTTTTGTACATCAGCGGACTGGTGAAAGAAAGTCGTAATGACCAGGCTAACACAGAACTAGAGACCCAGTTCATGAGCATAGAGGTAATTCATGATACAGCAGAAGGGGCTGGACTCATTCTGATACTTAATTTCTCTGTGTTGAGTCTCATACAGTTCCAAGTCTATTATGTGGACATTGTCAGTAATATTACCAAGTTGGGATCTTGGTGGATCCCATGGCAGGAGGCAAACACTCCAACAGGCAGAACTTACATGGAAAAGAAGTTTTATTGGGAAGGGAGTGGATGAATGGAGAGAGGAGGAGAGAGAAGAGAGAGAGAGAGGCAAAGACAGAGTCAGAGAGACAGAGACAGAGAGAGACAGAGACAGAGAGAAAATAGAGAGGGGGAGAGAGAACAGACAGGGATCTGTCTGCCTCCTCAGAGAGATGGCAGAAAGAGGGGGGAGGTGGGTGAAGTTTGCCTCTTAAAGAAACCTTTGCACCTTTGTTCAGACAAAGTAGATATGTAGGAGTCACAGGATCCTGCATTGGCCAGAGTACTGCCTGAGTGCATTCTGCCAGATGACAGGTGGCAAGCCAGCATTATTCCTGAATCCTAACAAATGTAGAAAGAATCTCTCTTTATGCTGTATTTCTTTATGTTCAGGAGGAGTTAGAATGGCAATTCTTTTATTAATTTTCCTATTATGTAATAAACCAGGTACTGAGATCTCTTGGCTGTTGAATTTCCTGTGAGGACAGTTTAGAGCCTGATTAGTCAAAAGAACTGATGTGTCTTTGGAGAGACTTGGATGGAAGGCCTTTTTTGCTTCCTCTTAAAACTACCTATATCCTTCAAGGATAAACATTAAACACTTATTAAATGTCTGAAACTTTATTGCTTTATTGTTATTATAATGGCATTATTGTTCTCAAAGTGACAAAGAAATTGAAAAGATTATTCGTCTCCAGTCGGTTGAGGTGTAGTGTCATCAACTAAAAATTTGAGATTGATGAAAGTGCTTTATATCATGACAAGAATTTTTTTCCCATTATTTCAAAAGGATCTGATTCAATTCATCAATTGTTTTGCATTCATACCTAATCACCTCTCCTTAACCAAATCAATCCTCTATTATATAGAATATTTGTATTTGCCTCTTAGGAAGATAATGTCTTTCCTCAATGGTTGCAATTGTTTTAAGCATGATGTTGTGTGCTATTCTATTTTTTTTCAGCTAACCCCTGTCCTTACTATGATGAATACAACAACTGTGATAAGCAATTGGCAACTAAGGGATGCTCACATCCAGCAGTTCTACTGTTCTGCAAAGCTTCTTGTCTGTGTAAGACCGAAATAAAATAATCTTCTACTATTAACCATTGTGCCTTGAATACAAAGCATGATTTCAGGACCATTTATTTCATGTTAATGACATCTTCACTGAATTCCATTTGTTTATTATGCTCAATAACCTAATTTTCAATCATCATTTATAGGCATAAATGTATATTTATCAAGACCTCCTTTCCACGATCCATCCCGTAGCAACAGTTTTAAACTTCTTTGTTGTTTTAATGAAAGGCCAAGTCAAATAGTTGCCCCCAAATTGAACACATGTGATTTATGATATGTAGATCAACATAATCCAGCCAACAACTTAATTGAGTTCTTCATCTGTAACTTTTAAAGTGACATCTTTTTCAGTCAACCCTGTTTTCTAACTCTACCATTTTCCCCCACAACCTTAATAATTTTCCTGCCATACCTTTCCATTTCTTTTCTGTTTTAAGTCAAGCATTAAAAAAAAATGTTCAATTACTAAACAAAAGTCAGGCCTCAGCTTCAAGTGTGAGTATTACTCAACTAAGAATGGTTTAAGTGCCTTACTGGCTCATTCCTGTCTCTGCGTGCATGTTTGTGAAGTGGGGAAAATGAAAGACCGTCAATCTTTGGGTACCTTTCTCTTCACTTGTACTTTTCCAGTTTCGCCTATGTCCTCCCCTCACCCTGAACACCCCACTCACAGGTTTTTGTGTTTCTTACATAATAACTGAATGGTTATAATCCTATGCTGTCACGTTATCTGAAATACCTAATTCTTTTATTTGATCTTATTATATTACTTTAGTAGAGAAATGTATCCTATAAATTGTTCTGTATACAAGCAGTTTGATATAAGGAAGAGTGAAAATGGAACACGAGAAATGATAATGTTGTGATATGTTCTTCCTATATTTATTTATTTGTAAGCCATGAATTTTCCAGTTTTGAATGGGGTTTAAAAATTTGTGAGTCTGAATTTCAAAGAAACATTGCAAGCAGCATAGCTACATACAAAGTCTGATATTTGTGAGGATATTTTTTTCTATTGAAAATTCATTTTTTCCCTTCTGTACATGTTTCTAAAGCAAAGTCCCCCAAGTTCCTGTCATCTCCCACATATTTTGGTTAAGTGGAAATGAACAGAAACCATGTTTAGCTTCAAAGATGAGAATTTTATATAATCCCAAGTGTGCTTTATTGGCCAAATATTGCCACAAAATGTGAAGCAAACATTAGGGTACTTTTCTAAAAACTTCTAAGATCACAGTTCTTGAAGGGCTTTTGTGTACTCGGCAGTGCACTATGGCATTTACACTGTGCGATGGTGTGTTTCGGGAGAAGAAAGTCACTGTGTTTCCAGCATCCAACACCTGTGTATATTTACGAATACATGTATGGACATTAATGAAAGCCAGGAGAAATATAAAGCAATATGGAAAAGAAAGGCCTCAGGATAAATACCCAAGTTGGAGGTTTGTTTGATCACAGTAAAGAGGAGGGCAACAGGGGGTGTGTAGAAGACAGAAATTATGGGGTAAAACAAAATATGTCCCTTGTCACATCCGTGATTTTCTGAAGTTCAGTGGCACACTGTCCTCACACCTTATGTGGACACAAAAACAATCGGATATTGCAAATGTCTGGATTCACCGTGATTCTAATTAATTCTATAACTTCGCTGTTTTTTTTTTCAACATAGACACTGCCAACGGACCATTTCTATAGTCTAATTCTGAAATCATTCATCCGAAACCATTATAAAGGGGATGTAGCACAACTGCAGCTCTTAAATGGGCCTTTAGTGTTTGCATATTTTTATTGGAGAGATGAGAAGAAAACAAACAGCAGGAGAAGTTTCCTACTGTGAAACCAGTAACCTCATAGAGAAAACGTTTTTTTGGGTTCTCTTGAACAGAAATTGAGAATTCCCGACCTTTAAAAGCACAGCAATTTTCCAGGCAAGTTCATGAACATGACCACTAGATGGCAGACTACATATGCTTCATAGGAATCCTTCCAAAGGGCTCCATCTGTCTAGACTATTACTAGACTTTTATTTTGTGTGCTGATTGAGTTTTTTGGTCTTCATTTGTCTAAAAGCCTCGGAGGTATGATAAAATTCTCTTTATTTTATAAGATTTTGCAAATATCAGAGTTTCTTAAACAGAGAAAATGAATTTGTGTTATAAAAAAACCAAGAAATTATTTAGTAGAAAATATTTCAAAGAAGTTTGTGTACAAACAAATATAGCCAAGCAACGTGTAAAAAGGGCTTGGAAGTTATTTTGAGTCAAAAGTAAATTGCATTCCAAGCTTGGTATCTTTCATCTGAGGGTCTCTTCCATGGTAGCATTTGATTTCTTACATCCTTGGCGTATTTTAAGCGACATAATATTTCTAGCATACAAAAGACTGGAGATGAGGTTTATTTCCATGTTACTATAAAGACAGCGACGCGTCGATTTGAAATAGCTTCCTGGAGGCAACATCAGAACAAACCGTTCACTTAAACCAAGATCATCCACTTTGGATTTGGAGACGCATTGATGTAATCCACCAGGAGAGGGCTCTGTCGCGTTTCTTACCAAAGCTAACAAAGCAGGAGCCTGAACTTTTTGTTCCCAGTCTTATTTTCGTTTTCATTTCTTCTTAGTTCTTTACAGACAGAACTATTACGGACTTTTTCCATCTGAGAAACACATCGAGCTACTAATTTCACTGCTTGTGACTTTTAAAGAGTAACTGAAACGTTTGCCTGTGCAGACTTAAGCTTCTCTTTCAGAGTCAGAGCCTGCCAGCCAAGTCCCTTGCTAGCATGCCGAGTTCATGGTCAGAAACTTTTTTGAGACTTCTCTGGCACATGTTTAAATGTAATGTACTGGTTGTTGTCTTAGCAGAGCTCTCACTGTAGCCAAGTTTCAAATGCAGTCCTTGACTGGACTAGGTCACTATTTCCCAGAGATTTGTTGTCCTCCCCGCTTCAGCTCACAATGTTATTGGTGTTTAAGTCTGTTATTATATTAATTGTGGTGTGTGTGTGTGTGTGTAGGGTGTGTATGTGTGTGTAGTGTGTATGTGTGTGTAGTGTGTATGTGTGTGTAGTGTGTATGTGTGTGAGTGACTCTGTGTTTCCTTCTTCGTTTTCATTCTTTGACTTTCTCCGAGTCATTTAGGATATTTTAAAGGATTCCATTTTAATTTAATTTGTAATGTTTTTGAGTGTAGATCCTTGTATAATTTTCTTAATTCTCTCACAACATACTGTGATAAATAGTTTTGTGTAAACTTGACACAACCAAAAGTCACCCGAGGGGAGGGGACCTCAATTTAAAAATGACTCCCTAAGATCAGGCTATATGCAAGTCTGCAGGGCATTTTCTTAATTTGGTGATTGACACCTGGGCTCATAGTTTTGTCGTTCTACAAGAAAGCAGGCTGATCAAGCCAGAGGAGCAAGCCAGGAAGCAGCACCATTCCATGGTCTCTGCGTCAGCTTTTGCCTTGGGGTTCCTGCCATATTTGAGTCCCTGTTTGTACTCCTTTTATTTCTTAGGTGAAATAAGACATATATTCCTATGGTGTAGGATCTATTTTCAAACCAACAGAACACAAAAACCTTCTGAAAAAGCAGGTTGAATTGACAAGGCTTTCTGAAACTGGCCAATTGCAATGATGTCAAAACCTTTGACAATGTGTTCGTGAAAAGTGCTAACAGCATCAAGTTCTGATATTGTTTAAGCTTCTCTTGCTTGCAAAGGTCATAAAAGACCTATATGAGATTCTCTCTATTGCAGCTGAGGGCCTCTTACATTCTCATTCCTGAGGAGGGGACAGTAAGTTAGGCCTGGCCATGAGTAAATTTTACCCTGTAATATCTTAGTGTTTAGCTCCTGGTTTTTGACACCATAACAGCTTCATGTGTCACTGCCAGCAAGGAGAGGACCCACTCAAAATTAAGACTGACACTTGAGGTCAGCATGACTTTAGCTGGTGCCGGGTCAAAACTTTGGGAGTCTGACCAAGCAGCTTGTTTTCCTTACACACTTAAACACAGTAAAACTTTAGAAAACACATTTCACATGACAATTATTACTACAAAGCATTAGACATGGCTATATAGTAATCTCCAATCTTCATGCACAATAGTTCCCTTCAGTAAAGTAAAGGTCTCTTCGACCTTTACCATAAGGCAATTGTTGACAAAGAAATAGTGTTCAGATGAGGGCCTTGGGAGAGGGGGGTGTTAGAATAAGAATGGGTTCTGTTGATTAATAATGCAAAGTATGCCAGGCAGTGGTAAATCACATCTCTAATCCCATCATTCAGGAGGCAGAGATGGGCAGATCTCTGAGTCTGAGGCCAGCCCCATCTATAGGCTGAGTTCCAGTACAGCCAGAGCTACACAAAGAAACCCTGTCTCAAAAAACAAACAAAATGCAAAGTACATTAGGACCTCTTTCATAAGGATGGATTCTATTCACTGAGAGACAAATGGCCTAGACAATGCTCAGGATGTGGAGAAATTCAGGTGAAGGCTGGCTCCATAAAACAGCAAAAGATCACTGGTTTGTTAGACAATACCCATTCCAGCTTTCAGGTTAACAAGTATAAGTCATTTCCTTCCCTTCTCTGCTCCTCCAGATCCAAGCCCCCTCCATTCTCATTCCCAGCTCTGCAACAAAACCCCTGCTGTGGCCTTTTTAAAAAAAATTTCTGAACCTACCCAATGGATCACAAAGATTTTCTCTTTCTAACTCTCTCCAACTCATCCCATTATTCCAGTCTCCAACACATTAGCTGAGCAGGCCAGGGAAGTAGGTCCACAGAAAGTAGCTACCAGGTACCACAGGCCCCACACACTCCTAAAGTCCTAGGAAAAAGCAGAAATGAAGGAACAAAGCACTCACCCAACTGAGACAATACCAGATATAATCACCCAAACCTATAATCATACCAATTCCAGATGCCTAGTCATCAGCAAAACAAACAAGCAAAAAACCTAAAACACTATCAATAATAGCCAGAATAATATGCTTCAA